TTCAGCAGCTATGCTAACAACTCATTAGTCCTAGTTACCTATACTGTGCATCACCCAATAAATAATTGCCTTAAGCTCCTTAAATAGGATATCTTCTGCTTGCAGATTTGGTCTGTGCACAGTAGTAGCTAAAAATCTAACTTGTGTTTAGATACTTCCATAACAGGATCAAGTTAAGTCTATCCACTCTCCTTTCCACTACCTCATCCTGTTAGGTTGCTCACAAGAAGGGTAACCCACTCACCTCTTGCTTGGACAGTTTCCAGTCATCATTAAGATCCATCTCTTGGAATGACTCATGAGACCTTGGTCCATTCCTAATTTCTAGAAGGTCAATGTTGAAAATCAGTGTGCTCTCAGGTGGAATTTTTCCTGCCCAGAATAGTAAACATGGAGAAAAGTTAAAAACAACTATTTATTCAGTGCCATATAAAAGCCATATGCATCAGAGCAATGTTCCAGTAATCATACTACTTTCAAAGCGTTCTGCAACTTGAACAAGGATAAGTATCTGTAACAGTGATAACTATTTCAGAGTGTAGTCTGGACCCTGAGCAGCCCTTACAGCACAAAGGCAACTTCAGATGCGACTAGTTTGTGCTGATATGAGCTCATATTCAGCAACCATCACCACAGGCTCGTGAGACAATGTTCCTGAACCTTCTTTTCATGACCAGAGCCAGACAGAGCACGAGTGGAACACAGCAAAGGAGATCGTACAGCCAGCCAGGTGGCCGCTACCACAACACACAGCCAAGACTGAGGGACAGGGTAGCAAGAAGGTGGAGTCCAGTCCTCCTGATGCACATAACTCCAGTCTCCAAATTCCTCTCCACTGCCAACCAACACCTTGTACCTGCTATTCTGCCACTGGAAAAACTTCTTGTTGCAGAGAAAGACAGAAGGGCAGCAGTGTTGTCAGTATCCCATAGCTGTCTCTGGACTGCTGCACAAAGAACTGAGCTACTTCTAAACAGGCAGCTGAAACTAAGTACATGAACCCACCCAAAAGACATGTGTTGGCATCATGCCATTTTTTATGCAGGTGAACAGATTGATAGTTTCCTAATAGTGCCAAAGACCACTCCCCTTTATGCCACCATCCCTCAAGGATTTCAGTTTATCTGGCATTGGCTTTTACAGTGATGTGATATGCCTTCATGCTGATGGATTCAGCTACTGTCAAAGACCTTTTAGCACACCACTTTGCTCCTTACACGTAGCAAGGCTGAATAGGACTGAACATATTTCTATATTGGATGGCAGACACGAAAAAAAATATTCCTGTGCCTCAAGAAGATAGGGAAAAAACTAATCCACCCCTACTATTTTGGAACTATGGTATTACATGCACCCTGAGCTGCAGCAATGAATAGGCTTGTAGATTTCTGGGATGAATAACTGTGCAGAAACTCCTGGAAATACAGGGCACAGTGGCCTGCTCAGAGTTTGGAACATGGGTAATTTTTCTGAGTGTTACAGGAAGAGGCATCTGACTCATCTTTCAAGTCAGGCAGCAAGCAAGGTGGGAGGCTAGTGAAATTATGTGCATTCAGAGGAAAGCATGAAGTAAGTGGAGTAATTCTGTCTTCAAGGGCATCACTTGAAAACAGCAACACAATTATGTTCAAATACTTCAAAGTTTTCCTAAATCAAGTAATTTCTTAGAGCAGTTAGCAGTGTTAACTTGTTCATGTTAACTTGTTCATAGTGTTTTGCACTAAACACAAACGTGAAGCTTGCAGGCCTTTGAAGAACAAATGCAGTGCTTTACATACTAACCAAGGCAATTAGGCCCCTGACAACTACAGGAGCACTGCAGGATTTGATACTTTTTTGTGGAAAAATTTACAGTTGTGCCCTGCAGACAGTCAACTAACTGACCACCACAAGTGTCCTATTCTCTGCTAAAAATATGATTACTTCTAATATCATCTCTTAAACCCCAAACCAAAGCTTGTAGAAAAACATATTTTAAAAGAATACTTTCAAGACAGGAGGGTATTGAATATGATGTATGTATGGAGTACTACTTAGCATGGAATAATACATACTGCTTAGCCTGTGTTCAGCCCTACTTGCCAGAAGATACAGACATGCAAACACTCTTCATTCCTAAAACAGTCTCAGATTAATGGGTGAGGACAGTAGTGATGGATACAGATACACAGCAGATCAGAGGAACCTTGAACAGGGGAACAGTTATCAAAGGTAAGAGGATGTACATCCTTGTGAATCCACAAGCAGGGAACATTAGTCAAGATAAGTGGGCATACATCCTTAGATGCCACTAAAGTGAACTATCTCATTACAATATGAAAACCACACCTCCAGTACTGAAAACTCCCCGTCCCCAGATAACTGCCCCTTCACTTATAGTAAGCTTAAGGAGTACTGCAGGTTTAAACCAAAGCAAGAACTGACCAATCATAGTTAGGAGGGTATGGCTGCTAGGGAGAACTGACATTTTTAACGGTATAATTATGCGATGTGACTGTAACCAGGCAGCTTTGTGGAGTTACCACCTAGCTAGCACCCATCTCTGCACAGACATGAAATAACCAGGTATCTCGACTCAGTGTGTGGATTGGATTATGCACACCAGGTAAACGAACCCTGATTTCTGGAACAACAATACCAGAAGGATTACAGGTTCCAAGACACTTATCCTTTCTGCTTTGAAACCTAGCATTACTTCAGGTCATTTCTGGTAACTTTTTTTGAGCAATTATTAGAATATTTTGTCATGACAACAGTTAACTAAAGCAAACCCCATAAAGCAGAAAAAGTAACCTTCCTGCATCTTTCAAACTGTCACTCACTTAACTGCAGATCTGGCCCTCCCATTAAAACAGAAGTCTTGCAATGTTTGAAAGAAAAAACATCCAAACACTATCAGTAGTAGACAGGTTGAGAAAATACTACAAGCCACATTTATCTGTCTGTACACCACACAATACGTTTTAGTAGGCGCCAGCACAACTGCCCATGTACCTGCATACCTTACCGTGGATAACAGGTATCACTGCCCAAACTGAAAACAGCTGAAAGAGGGAGAGAATTAAGTGTCCCTATATGGGGAAACAAACGGTGACTTTTCACTGTACCAGCTAAGAACTGGTTGGGCAGCAGTACAGGGAGTTTCTCCAGGTTCTAAAAGGAACCTGCAGACGAGAACAAGGCTTGCACATGCACATTCATGAAGTATTACCATAAACACAGATGCAACAGCCAAAAAGCCAACTGTTACCTAAGCAACCACTTCCAGCTTGACTGTAAAAAGGAAAAAAAAAAAAGCAAAGCACTGCAGAGCACAGCACTAACAGAAACAACACTCACAGCGTACGGCACAGCAGCTACCATCAATTCCTGTTTTTTTCCTGCATTTACCACATAACCACTTAATGGTTATTTCTGGAGAAAACAAATTTGTGAGAAAGGGCACCTGTCTCCATCAATTTTGCTTATTTAATGGAATCAGCCTGGAAAGCTTGAAAATTTGCTCACCCTTTAGGACAGGAATAACAGTAAAATACAGATACTAAAAAAAATTACAGCAAGGGAAGGACTTCAGGTGTTTTACCTTTCCCTTCTTTTCCATAAGCAAGGGCTGGTGGAATAGTTAGCTTCCTCTTCTCTCCCACACACATGTCCTTCAAACCTTTGTCCCAGCCTTTGATAGCTTCCCTTATGCCAAGGGTAAACCACATAGGTTGACCATTATTATGCTTGTGACTGAAAAAGAACAGAACAAAATACTTTGTGTTTAGACAGCAAGTTCCATAAAAGGCACTCAGAGCAGATGAAAGATGCTCCCAGAATAGATATATAATTCAAAAACCCAAAACACACCACTATTTAGCACCTTGGTATTTCCTAAATGAAAGACCTAGACTTTTATTAAGTCTTTAGAAGTTATGCCTTGCATGACAAGGTTCCTTAAGATATGGAAAGAAGTAAAATAACATCTACACGGTGTGTTTATGACAAGACTGAGCAACCTGGATCCCCACCTTCACTTCCCCGATCATCTATTTCCATTTTGAAACTGATCAGACTAGAATGGCATTTCTATTTAAAAAAAAAACACCTACATTCAAGGCCATGCATATTCTTTAGTAAATCAAAAACCAGCTTCGTCATGATTGCAATACACCTTACAGCATGCTTAGAAGAATCAGCCACTTTTCTTCTAAAAAAAGCCATTAGGGAAAAAAACACAACAGATAGTCTAGAAAAATAGAAACAAATGCATGCAAAACATTCTAGTTTTAAACAGGCAGACAAGGCCCTTTTCCAGTTTAACCAGGTGGTACATCAGGACTAGTTTCACTCTACTGACAGACACAGAATTTTTAAAGCTCTATTTACTTACTACTCATGCAGGAGAGGTGCTTAAGAAGAAAACAGAGCACTTACAGAAGTTAGTCAGCAGCAAAAAACTTAGTGTCACTAGAACTCCTTTCAGAGAGGCAGGTTAACTACAAGAGAAAATTAGGGAGGTATTAGTTTAAATAGTCTGCAGGAGCACAAACATGCAAAACATTGTCTTTTTTTAATTATGTTCCACAAAAGTAGACTTCAGAGGCAGCCTACAGATATGTGAGCATTTTGCTGTCTCCCACTGTTAACACTTCGTTGATGTTTTACAGGAAAGGCAACATTAGCAAGTCGTTGCAGGCTCTTTGCAGGCGCTCTCGATTTTCTGGCTCTTCCTCCTACTTGCATTACTGTGGCTCTGGTATGTTGATTTGTCCGGTCAGGGGCAGGTGAAGAATACGCCGTTTCAGTAATGAAAAGGTGTCACTGTGCTGCCAGTACTGGGAGGATATATATAACTTTTTTTTTTTCTTTAAATAGAAGCAGACTTATCCCCTAGAAGTTTATTTTAAAAGCCAGACAGAAATTCACGCATAGCAAAAGACTTCATTAAACCCCCAAAGTCATATACCAAAACCTGTGTCTAAACTGCAGAAGGGGATGCCTAACATACCCATCTTTCCACAAATACCACACGGCTCTATGTTCTACGGACTAACCAGAAAACAAAAGCTAGGTAGGATTTATTTTATAGTCCCAATCTGGCAAAGGGAAAGGAAATAAGCTTTACTGTTGGTGCTCATCTTAGAGAGCATTATGAATCAGTGCTTCCTAAACTGTGTAAGCTTAAAAAACTTTCTGAAAACGGGTTGCGGTGGAAAAGGCCCAGCCGGCAAGTTCGTGCAGCGTTACCTAAGCGAATTTAGCTCAGTAACAAATAAAATCTGGGGCATGCTGTATACGTGCACGCACGGCTTATGTCTCCTTGCACACGGGTAAACTCCGGTTTTGGGAGAGAGCGAGGGGACAGCTGGAAAAACCAAAAGGAAAGCCGCCCGCCCTCAACAAAGCGCTCGTCGCAGGGCTGTGTCGCCGACGGACC